GACTTGAACCTATATGGGATACGATATGCATAGTAAAGACTAACTTTATTTATTCATATTGGATTCAATTTCAAGGGCGTTCATCATTTGCAAAAGAAAGAAAAGGAGGTAGGTTATAATTTTACATTCGAAATTTGCGAAACGTCATTTGCCGACAATAATTCTTTTAAAAGCTCATGCACGCGGGAGTAGCACGAGACGAAAAGCGTCGAGAAAAAAAATTAAAGTTCGAAAAAAATCAACAGGAGCTAGAACAACAAATCAAATTGAAACAAGAGTATGAACAAATTCAACCTGTTCTGGAAAATGAAAAGAATAAAGAGGATATTTGATTTATAAATACACGAGAATTTATTATGGCATAAATCGCAACTATGTACATAGAACTTTTTTGCATACATCGGCAAAAAATGGACAGGAGTTCATTCCGTCGGAATTACGCCCAACTTTTGACCATACTTAATTTTTTGATTGGATTCCAAGCTAAATTTAAAATTTAAAGGTGCTTCAAACACAAGCACAACGGTGGAGCCCAAACGAAATCCACCGATCTCGTCACTAATTCTAAGAGGATATCCGGACAACAGTTTGCTTGCATTTTTGTAAGAAGCTTCTGTGTACGTTCCGATCGCCAAGTCTTCTTTTCGATTGGTGCGAAGGGCCTGAGAAAGATTGAGAGATTTGCAAATTACATCTCATTTTATTTTCATATGTCAATTAAAGAAAATTAAAATACCCGATCAAAGTTAATCTTGATGGAACCAACGTTCGTGGCTCCAACTGGAATCATTGCAAAAAAACCGTATCTCCACCTTCCAAGTAAAACGACACGTTCATTCAGTACAAATAGGTCCGGCATCAATTTCACCATATAGGGGGAAACCGAAAATAATTCTCCTAAATATATATAATGAGCATCAAATACATCCTGTGGTTATCTAGTTAAGAGAAACAATACGTACCCGCGAAATGTCGCCGTGACTCAACAACCCAATTTGTTGGCGAATGAAACCTGTGATAATCACCAGGAGCAAGATAGATGACACAAAAGAACAATGCATTTCCCTCTTTTATTTGAAGTCCGTGAGCGGCGTCGATCGGATTCTTGTTCACGTTTTTTGCGACAACCTGCTCTTTTTTTTCGTGATCTGACCCAAGTTTAATTGATGCATCATTGAGGGTGCTCCCTTCTTTTATAGACTCGACAGGACCATCGCCCAACAATGAATCTAAAGAATACGTGATGCCGTTGACGTTTGCAAATTCCCTTTCATCCACGATGTGAGTTGTTTTATTCACCTTAACAACTTGTGACCCTAAGTCAATTGTATGACTCCTTCCATCTTTGTGACCCAAAAATGCATCCAGTGAATAGGTGATCCCTTTTACTTGCTCCACTTTTCCACCATCTACTAGTCCAAAAGTAAGGACTGTTCCATCTGCTGGCGATATCTTTAAATCTATAAATATTAACCGATAAAATCGTAGGACAATTCAAAATGCACCTATAGAGAAAAGAACTTTGTTCTTTAACCTTACAAGGAATTCATTATCAATAGGTCGTGAACCGGGCTTCAATGATCTATAAAAGAATGCACCCAAATTCGGATAACTCTTGAGGTCAGTATTTTCAATCTCTTTCAAATTACATTTAAAAATCCAACTGTAAAGCCCGTAAAAAGGCGCTCTCATCCAAACAGGCAAGGTGTATTCATTGTTGATTTTGCCCCACAGACGCGACAATGCTCTGAGTGGAAGTGCGTCAATGGTGTGAACCTACCAAGAAATCGTAAGATATATTAATAATATGCAAAATAAATTTACGGATAATCCGACGATGGATTACCTGCCACGGACCCACTATAACAGGGCGATTTTTCGCATGTTGATCCTTTTTGTTTGCCTCGTGTTCATTGTATTTGTGGTACAAGGTCTGTAAAGCAATAAAAGCTATCCCTATGCCCACCGGTATGGGATAGTATTTTATCTCCGTCTTTTTCCATTCGGTACTTAATCTTTCTGTGTAATTTTCAGAATGGTCATTAGGACTTCGAGTAATATCTAAATAAGACATACGAAAACTTACGGAAAAAAGATCGTTTTCTCTCGTTATTTTGCGAATCGCGTCTCGAAGATGAAGATAATAACAACCTTCTTTGCCTCGCAAAGTAGAAGCGATCAACCTTTTGACAAGAAACGTTCACTCGCATCCACCTCTGTGAAGTAATATTTGTAATTCGTTTCATTTTTTTTTTTAAAAAAAAAAAAAAATAAGAATCAGGTTTAAAATCTGATTAGATTTGAGTAACCAATCAGGTTGCATTCAACAGACGAAAAAATGTCATCCACCACTGCCACCAACAATAAAACTGAGCTTGTTCAACTTTCCACCAATTATCCCGCCTCGACTGAACAGACTAAAGTTAAACCCTGCTGTGCTTGTCCCGATACAAAGAAGGCTCGAGATGAATGCATATTTCAATACAATGACGAAGAAAAATGTAAAAATCTAATCGAAGCTCATAAAGCCTGCATGCGTAGCTTTGGATTTAACATTTGACGTCATTATTTTTCGTCGGTTGGTTTTCTTTCTAGTAGAATTCGGTGTTTAAAGTTTTCATGTTTAACTTTCAGACTCTGGAAATTCAAATTTTTATTTTTCTATATCCTTCATACAGCACAGAGATAACCAAAGCACACAGGTATTTTACATGTTCCTATCTAAATTTACACCTTCCTCACTAAAATCTTGTCTCCACAAAAATTCTTCAATGTAATACATATTGTTCACATGACAATTATTTCTACAACTATATACAAATATTGATCCCCAATCAAGGGAATCCTTCTTTGTATTGTCAATGTCAAGGTAATTGAGGAGTGTGGATAAGATCTGGAAATCAAATAATTAATAAATAAAGTCTGCTTACTATTATCAGAAAGCGTAAAGAATTTACCTGAAATTCAAAGGTCCTCTCTTGATGGCAATACACGCACGGAGGTATATCCTCAGGAGTTGGTTTACCAATGTCACTAACCCATAATGGATCAGCGTTTTTCTCGCTTTCGTATTCCAGTCTGACATACCTAGAGGATCAACCAATCAATTGATTAATGTGAGAGCAGAAGGGTTCTATATCGTTGATGCATAAGTGTCAAACCTTAACACCTGATCAGGATAAGGTTCAACTTTCTTTTGAAATTTTAGAAAAGCTTTATCAACGTTAACTTGGGTGTTTTCATAAATCTCATCGCCGACAGGTACGAGGGCCCTCGAGTTCCCCTCTTCTATATCGAGATTCATATAATGTAAGGTGTTGTAATAAAAAAGATTTGTGACAAATTACAAGGGGACTTCTTACGCAATGAATTGTCGTCGTCTACCCCAATCTCATGTTTATTCAAATTCTTTTCGGGTTCGGAAATAACTTCCAATTCCGGGAATAGAATTGATTTTCTACAAAGGTTATCATGCTCCTCCACCGACGAAGGTGACTCTGTGCTATTTATACAATGAACTTTGTGTTTTCCAATCGTCCAATGAACAGTCTGATGTTCTTTCGAACAATAATGGGTCTGACTACATTTCCCACACCTCTTGGAACCAAGTAGACCACAAACAATACATAATTTAGCTAGAATGCGGATTATAACATATCAGTTATATTTCTTATATAATATATATATATATATATATATAACATGGGTCATGAACACACCAGTTATAAAATTGGCCAAAAATCCGTTACTTGATTCGTCCGATTGATCATCGGCCAAATCGTTTTCGCCAATACTTCCTGTAGATGGCGGCCAATACGAATTTTCATTTGGCATTTGACTTCGGAATACCTTCAAACTTTGAATTCGAAACGGTAATTAAACCTTGATCGTGTGCATGCGTGACGCGTACATTTCCTTGACATATTGTTCACTACCTCTTTTTCCATGAAGTTTTGTGACATGCTCCATTTTTGCAACAAAAGACATAGATGGTACGATGAAAAGCTTCGGGAGGTTGATCTTCTGGAGTGTAAAGCTATTACACGATATTGAATTCAACGAGTAAAAAAGTTCTAAGGTACATGGTAGGCATTAAGGTGTTTAGCTACCTGAATCAAAAGAATCATGCATTTGTCACAAACACCGCAACTGACTTGTTCGGCAGATAATACGTGTTCGGGATTTAACCATGCCTGAATGTTTTACAAACGAACGAATTAGAACATTTTCCTTTTCTCAGGAGATCGCATTCATATTACCGGTCTTCCGCCAATTTTACTTGGAAAAAGGTTGGGTGTAAGAGGTGCTTCCGGTGGCTCGGCGAAGCCAAGCTCCACGACCTTGGTCGAAGAGGCTGCCATGGCCAAAATTCATACGTATGTGCAATAGATCTGCGTGACAAATAAACGTGAGATTTGGCTTACGTAATCATTATGTTAAAATATAAGTACGCATTTCTTATTTTACTTAAAATATAACAACGTCACATTTTTGGAAATGACAGATTCTATTCTTAAAGAAAACCAGATCTCTCAAGAAGAAGAAATCCTTGCATTGTCTTCCATTTTCGGACAAGAATCGGTTATCCCTGTAAACCAGGCTTCCCCATACCTGTCGTATAATTTCAGATTATCATTAGAATCCGATCTTTCTTATGAGTTCAACAAATCTTCCACTGTGAATTCTATTATATTGAATTTTCATTTTCCGGAAGATTATCCTTCAGCATCACCTCCGATTTATGAAATTGTTAGTTTATACTGTGGGACATTAAGAATCGATAATAAAATAAGAAATGAAATTGACGAGAAATTCAAGGAACTGTTTATTCCAGGAAAGGTGGTTATCTTTGAGTGGATCGAATGGTTGAGAGAACTTTTATCTCAAAAGCTTGCCGAAGAACAATGTAATAAAACAGACACTCACACTAATGCGAATGCTGATTCATATAAACCAAAAGAGGGTTCTAACGTCGAAGCAAAAGAGGATTTTGACATCGAAGCAAACAAGATAATAAAAAGTGATTGTCCTCCGATAACATCTGGTGAACCGTTAGAACATAAAAAATCTGTCTTTGTAGCTCACTTGGCTCCGGTACATAATGCGCAAGAAGTTAAAATGGTCAGGGAAACCTTGATGTTGAACAAAAAAATTGCAAAAGCTACGCATAACATCATGGCCTACCGAATTATACAGGACAATGGAGTAATATTGCAAGGTATACGAATTCCTATTTCTCCAATGTTATTTACCCATTTTCGTTTATTCATTTATTTGTTATTGGACTCATTAGATAATGACGACGACGGAGAAACAGCTGCTGGCGGCAGACTGCTTCATTTACTGCAGATTCTGGACGCGAAGAATGTTTTAGTAGTGGTTTCACGATGGTTTGGCGGCATATTGTTAGGACCGGGTCAGTAACGTTGACATATTTTAGCATCGAATTATATTAACTATATTGATTTATTCTGAATATTCGCGTGTTTATCACGTGTCCCTCAATTCACCTTCACAGATCGGTTCAAGGATATAAACAATGTCGCGAGGGATTTGCTCGAAAATTGCGGTTACATTGAGGGTGGTAAAGGCGGGAAGGTGAAGAAGTGAGATCATAAGAAATTCATTTCAAAATTTATATTTACTAAGTCGCGCTCCTTTGGGCAGAGAAAGACGTTCCTTTTTATCAAATTTTAATGCGACGAATTTTTATTCATAAATTATTAATAATCAACTATTGTACACAAAACTTTCATTGTCAAGAAAAAATCACAAAAACATCTGTGAGATGTTCAATCTCTTTAGTATATCCAGATATTAAATCAGCAACTTTTAACCCCCCGACCCTCTGTAATCCGGGGCTCAACGGAAAAAATTCCAATTCGAAATCTATCGTGCCGTCAGGTTCCAATTCTCCCAATATCTTAGAGCTCGATCCACTCAATAGCACCGATCCCATCTTGTTTTTTATCGCTGATATCACCACTCTTAAAGTTGCCGTTGTACGATTTCTTATACGACATCCTAATTTAAATGGAACTTCAAGTTGAATAAGCGATGGAATCGATTTTACCGAAAAATCAATTTCATCGAGCGACGATGGTTTGCGTGTTAACTGGGATGTTTGCAATCTTCCAGTCTCACCAAGATGAGATCGCCATACTATGTCTAATTTTCCAAGAGCATTGGTGGTGCGACCTAGGCGATCGTTTACGTCAGGTTTTGGTATTAACATATACAAGTACTGTCGAATGTCTTGCGGATTTAAAAAACTATTATTTCCAAAGATACTTTCCTGTTCTAATGGAATAATTCCTTCTTTGATTTGATTTTGTGACTTCTCATCGTCTGCTTCTTCCACCTTCGATGGATCTCTATTGTTTTCCACAACCTTCTCATCTGAATTGTCTGTTAACGATAATAAATCTCTATTATCTCCACTCATAAAGTCCCCAAATTCATCATCATCGTTGCCAGCATTGTTTCTAATTTCTCCTTTTTTTTCCTCACTTTTCCTATCTTTGTCCTCAACAACTTCGTCATCCACTACGTAATTTAAATCCTTGTAATTGAAAATTTCACCTGGTTCGAAATTCATCCTTTCCAAATACATAAACCTCTCGGCGACATTCTGTATTTGTACCTCGAGAAAAACCGTTCCATCACTCATGTTGTTAACCTTTGTTTTTACGGCAAAAGGATTTAGCACCTGAAACCTATAAAACTTACGAAACGACTTTTTTTCTTCATCGTCTGCCATATATTGTAATGTGCAAACTATATTGTGTACACCTAACTCTTTAATTTCATGCTTTACAGCGCATTCATGTGGTTTCCCCGGTTCCATTATTGGAATTGAATCATATTCCAAAGTGTCATGCAACAAGAAACGTTGTGAGGTAGTTTGCAATTCAACTTTAACGCCTACTTCGCGTGCATATTGTGCCGATTCGTTGGTTACTATTATAAAACCGTCAAACGTCGCGCCTAAATAAATATTGTCGGTGACATCCTTGGAAGTTGAACTCGATAGTAATTCGCTTTCGGATATTTCTTTCATGTAAGTGTTTATTGTTTGATTGGCTGATGTTTCCTTGTTGCTAGTTGCGTTATTTTTGTTTATGATCGGATTCTGCTTGCGCATTACCTTTAGACTAAGGTGGAAGTATTGCTCGCGTGATGACTGTTCACGTAAGGATTCCATGTTGATATAGGAAGACGACGATTCCCAACCGTTGCTCGAGTCATATCGGTTTAAATTCACATGACTTTTATAAAAAAATGTGTAACTTAATTAAGTAATGACCTATTGCTGATCGACTGTGACACGAAATTATAATCGTAAACGCGTTAGGATGGACATTTGCATCTGCATTCCAACTCCCGGTCGTTTAGGCAAATATTTTTATCTGCCGGGAATTAAATATTATGTGCGTAAATACGTACAGCATATCGAGTTTTTCCGTTGCAAATAATAATTATATGATTAACATTTAACGAAAATTTTTCTTTGAAAACGGCTCATGATCATTCTCCGTTTCTTTCTGGAATCAAATGCCTTATTTATATAAAATTTTTTATTTTAATGTATAACGTGATTTTCCTTAATATTTAAGATTGATGATGAAAAACCAGCAAAATCAAATGTCGATGCTAATGTAATTATAATTATAATTGAAAAAAAGCAAGATGCTAATATTTGGAATATCTAATTAAGTTAATTTTAAGTACGCGAACGTTGCAAGCAAGTTCAACCATAATTATTTTGCCATGGATATTGGAGATCACTGGTGATATGCTCACGTGATATATTATCGCTCCAGTAGGCGAGTGTTCCATGGATCCTAGGTTTTTTTGCCGCTCGAATTATAATTTTCAAAATCTACAGTCATCCTGGCCGAGTATTAAAGATATTCTATATTTATTATTTGTTTTTAAAATAAATTAATTAACATGTGAAATATATTCTACAAGTTTCAAGAACAAACATAATATCTTCAAACATATATACCAAGGCCACAGATTTTAAGTTAATGCTTATGAAAGCAATTATTGCAACTATCCTTCTTGAACACATTAGGAGAATAATCGTCACAGCCACATTCTTTGCACGGACCAAAGTTGCGGTTGGAGGTGACTGATTTTTCAATATATTCTTGGGGAATATACGAACTCCTACCGCCAATGTTAGTTGGCGACGAGGAACGAGGCATGTCTGTTGAAAAATCCGAGGTCGTTTGTCGTGATACTGCTCTTGACTTACTTCGAACAGGAGGAGGTTTCGAATTACGGGATGGAACGGGTGGTGTACTTACAGTTGATCCTACACGTGGTGGTGATCCATCTGAATTCGGAACGCGGGAAGACCGTGGCGTTTGGCGAGTTGATGTGTAACGCGATGATGGGGGCGAATTTCTTTGCACGGGTTCTTCATCCAACTCATCTATATCATACTGGTCGTAATCATTTTGAGTTAAATCATCCTCATCTTCTTCGTCAATTGACTCATTTTCAGGCTGTTCCTTGAGCTCCTCCGTATAATTTGCAGGAAACATACCGCTTCGTTTACTGCCATCAGGATCAATAATTTCGCCAATCCACCAGCCCTCATGTTCTTCCAAGACTGTGATTATTTCTCCTTCCTCCATTGCAAGTTCATCATTTTCGCCACCCTCATAGCTGTAAATTGCTCGGACTTGTTTTTTTTTGGTAGATTGTGAGATGCCTTTATATTTTCAAGACAACTTATTAATGAACAAAATCCAGAAAGAAACTATAAACCACAACGTTGCTGACCTGTTTTTCGTGTACTTGGCGCTCTTCTCGCGTCTGTGGTTTTAACAGATGATCCACCAGATGCTGTATTTTTTCTTCGGGACGAACTTGACACATTGTGAGAAGTGTTGTATGAATCTTCTGATTTGGAGTTGCTCGCGCGACTTAAAGTTCTTTTAGGGGTTGGACGTGATTTTTTAGAACGGTCGTGGTTTGAGTGAACACTTCCACTATCTGAATATTGCTCGTCGACGACATCATCTGAATGCGAATTGTATGAATCTGAAGTCGTTTTTCTTACCGGTGTTCGACGTTTTGGTTTTATTGACGAGCTATGGAGGACGAGTGTAAGTTTAAATTTTAGGCTCTCTACTATTATAAAGATCAATTTTTGAAAAAATACCTCTCAACCCAATCATCTTTCACACCCGAAAGAATTTCGAAACTCTTCTTGTAATATTCAAGTTGTGCGTCTAAGAATGATGTCAACTCCTGGACATATTGCTCCTAAAATTGTTTGATATTATGAAATTATAAGACTGAATGATCGAACAATAAATACCACACCGAGCTAACCTCCGAATCGTTTATATGTTGCATCTTTCCGTACAGTTCTTCCATCGTCTCGTCATATTTTTCTTTAGATGCTCGCAATTCCTCCTCTAGTTCCGGCTTCTCTTTTTTAGATTTTTGAACTCGATTTAATTTTGCATCATAATCAAGTCGACGTGATTCCAATTTCCTTTTTAATTGCTATCGTTTTTTAATAATTAAATTAGTAACATTGATTATTTTGTCGGCTGAAAATTTTCAAATTAGGAGAGTTAGCAAAGCTAATAAAAGATATTACTTGATACTGTTTCAACTCGCCAATGGTTGACTCTAATCCTTCAAGAAATTCTTCGCGAACCCTTGAAACAAACTCCAATTGCAAGTTTGCAATCTTTTCGTTGGCTGTTCCAAGTTTGACTAACGACGATCCTTAAATAGCGATCAAAAGAGAGTCTGCGGATTACCGATTAAAGCTTTTCATTGTGAATAATTGATTGACTCGAAGAACATTATAAATTACCATATGCAGATTCAACGCCTATTTCTTCTCCGTAGTTCCTTATGGTAGAACCGAGCGCTTCAATTGGTAACGTTTTCATTTTCTCTTCTGACTCAGTCTTCTTTGCTGCAATTGAATGGTTAAATGAAAATGAACGAATCTATTTAATCAAATTATTTATTTTTCTCCACTCTTGCAAAGAAAAGTGATATTTTATTTCAAGATCGCAACTTATACATGTGTGTATATATAAAGAAGAACGTACACATGGTCTTAAGGTAGTTTTTGGTCGCTGCATGTAGTTTGTCAAGGCCGTTATGCCTTTCCTCCGTTTTCTGCTGTAATTCAAGGAATTCATCGGTGAGCTGAGTTTTTTGGCCAGAACCCACTTTTTCGTTCGCCCACTAATTTACAGGAAACAAATGAATTAGTAAATGCCAGAGGATATCGAGTGATCTAATCCAGGAAAACGCTAGAAACCTGCTTAAATTTTCCAATGTTTTTCTTCATGATGTTTTAGAAGGATAATGATTTAGTGTAACTTTACCGACTTCGGATTTATATGCAATCATAACTGCTTGCATTTTTATTTTCGTTATTTGCTTATTTTGGAAGTAAAATTAGTGGATATACATTCATGTAGATACAGGACTCATTGTAATCCTGGCTGAGGCGCCAAAATAATTTCTTATTTGATTTACATTCATAATGCAACAAATAAAAACAAAACGTTTTTTTTTTATCATTACCAATAAAATGCGATCAACGTAATATACGGTAAAAAAAATAAAATAGCAATTATGTGCTGCGATCTAAATTAAATGAATAAAAAAAAATTATCATCTTTTGACCTTTTATCAATTCATTAAAAATATACTTGAATTCAATAATTATCTAAAACTTAATGATATCATCTTTTATATTATAAATACTTGTATATTATTATCTTTTTTTTATAAATGCTGTAATTATATATATTTTATATAAAAATTTGCAATTTGAAAAAAATAAATCTTGTAACTTAATTTTGAAATCAAATATGTAAATTGTTAATATAAATACAAAAATAACGTTTTTTTAAGGTGCTAAGTGTGAAGGTAATATCATTTTTATATAGTTTCATTTATACAACAGGTTAAATATAGTTTATTATATATTTTATATATATAACAAAGTGATTGCAACTAATTAAAACTTATATAAGCCAATATTTATATACTCTATACAGATTATTTCACATATATTATCTTACTTCTAATGCTTAAAAACCTATTATCTTAAATGATATTCTTTGTAATATCAGAATGGGATTTATTAAATATAAAAATCCTATCATTAGTTTTAAATTATTTAATATATATAGCTTAGCCTATTTTTAAAATACAGAATGTTGCAAAAAAAATAGCAAAAAATTTTTTATAATTGAAATTTTTATAATTATTAAATAAGTATTTATTTAAAAAATTTTTTTAATTTATATTTTAAAAGATATAAATTTATTAAAATTTTTAATTATAAATTTATTAAAATTTTTAATTAAAAATTTATTATATTAATATTAATATTTTTTTATAAAAAAAAATTATTTAATTTATTATCTTGTTCTTTTATTTTACTTTTTTAAAATTTTTTATTTAAAAAGCAAAATTTATATAAATATCTATATATATTATTATTTTAAAACAGAAATTAAATAGAAACTAAAAAATACAGAATAAAATTTTTATTAAAAATTAAAATATCAAATTAAATTATAAATTAATTAATAAAGTAGTTTTAAATAAAATTATTCTATAAATATCAATTTAATTATATTTAAATTATTTTTTTTTTTTTTTGTAGGTAAATATCATTTCTTTATTTGATTTGTATATAGCAGGGTATACATCGTGAAAGAAAC